GGGGAGTCTACGCTTGTGAGGAGGACAGAGTATTAGGAATGCTTTGCACTTTTCGCTTCATTTTACCATGAACTTAAAACTAAAATACAACTGCTCTCTTTCCCTCTGTCTTTTTAAGAACTTCATTTTAGTAGCAATTTTCTGGCCTCTCAGAATATGTAAGATACTCAACAAATCAAAACGAACTGTGTTAAATAGAAAGAAATATCTACATAAAACACATATTTTAATGAGTCTGAAGTACTGTTCTCTAAGTTTTCTTAAGATTTATTTTAAAAAATTTTAATTATGTATAGGTGTGTGTGTGTGTGTGTGTGTGTGTGTGGTGGCACACATGCGCACAAGAGTGCTATTTTCCATGGATGCCATCAGAGGGTTTTAGATCCTGTGGAGCTGGAGTTATGAGATGTTGTGAGCTGCCTGACATGGGTACTGGGAACTGAACTCATGTCTTCTGCAAGAGAAGTGTAGTTTTCTGATTGCTGAACCATTTCTCCAGCTTATATATATATATATATATATATATGTATATGTATATGTATATGTATATGTATATGTATATATATGGAAAACATAACTTATCAGACTCTGTCTGTCTATCTATTATCTATCTATCTATGTATCTATCTATCTATCTATCTATCTATCTATCTATCTCAGTTTTGTTCTCTTTGTTACAGATCTTCAGGTAAGATACAGCGAATCCCTTCAATGCTTACTTTGGTTCATTTCACAGTGTCTGTTTCTCTTTGTGATGCTGTTTATTATAACATGGTGAGATCAGACAATGGAGAGTCAACAGGGCTGTGCTCATTCTGAGTGAAACAAAATAGGCCAAACCCTCAGGAACAAACCAAATTCTAACTTATCATCAAAACCATTTAGAAGTGTTAATAGGTTAAACATTATTTCTTTGTCAGAGGTTAGGAAGACATAGAACTTACAGCATTTGTACAAATTTGCATGCGGCTCAGATGAGAGGTGAACAAAGGGCAGTGCATTCTAAACTGAGTCTAACAACCTCAAGCCATCCCGAGGTGCTAACTGATATCTGCTTTATACGTATTTATGTGGTATTTTTGCTCATGAAATTAATGCCATTACTTGAAATGGTTGCAATTTGTGGTTGAAATATTTGTGATAACATCAGCCTGAACAGGAAATCCATGTGGGCAACCAAGTGTTGAATGTACACTGTAGAGGAGCAGGTGAGGAAGGGTCAGAGGATTGCCCAGAGCAGTGGGGGATGGTGGTGCAAGTTGGCTGTGAAGGAAGGCAGAGACAGAGAACCTTACATGTTCTAAAAGAAGGAAAAGTCATATGTTGCTAAAGGTGGTCACCTTGAAAACGGATACATCTTCCATGTAGTAGGTGGTTTATGTATCTTCCATATAAATAGCAGAGTTTAGCTTCTGAGGTCAGCGGGACTTTGGGGTCTGGAAAACATAGATTGTTGTCAGGAACTGTGGTGTAGAAATGACTCTAAATCATTTCAGAGCAAATCTGTCGGGTCACATCAGTAAAAATGGTAGAGTCAGAAGCCCAGGAAGCTCTGTCCCTCCATCCAGGCAACAACTAAGCTGCCCTCAGTGCACATTATCAGAACTGTGAGACTCAGTATAAGCAATGAGAGGAGAGCTGCTGGAATTCGGGAAGAGAGGGGTTGGCATCTTAACTCACTTACCTACCACTCCCCTCCTGACTGGCTAGTGACCACTGAACTGGAAGCAGGGTCAAGGGTCCTACTTTGCAGAATTGTCTTTCATTTTTATCTGTCAGAAATACAAATCTAAACCACCTCGAGGCTTCATTTCATCCATGCCAGAATGGCTGAGATCAAATAAACAGATTACAAATGCTGACGTGAATGTGGGAAAGAGGAACTTTTCTTCACTGCCGGTGAGAGCATAAACTGGTGTGCTTACTATGGAAGCAGAGCTACCACATGACCCAGCTAAACCACTCCTGGGTGTATGTCCACAGGATATAATATCACAGCAAAAAGATATCTGTGCATCCATGTCTGGTGCTGCATTATTTGTTATAGCAAAGATGGACTGTATCTAGATGTACATCAACAGATAAATGTAATAAAAGTGCTATATGTATACACAATGGAATTTTATTCAAGTACACAGAAATTTATCTGAGTATGGATCTGGAAAGCAGTAAAATAAATATCTTACTTAGACAAAATAGACCCTAAATTTTAATGCTTATATATACGTAAATAAAGGGGCATGACTATGAGTATGTATAGACAGGCGATTATTAGATTATTACAGGAAGTATTGAGAACGTGGAGGGGGTCACATGTGACATGAGAGTGGAAATGAGACTACTCATGGTGGGAGGGCAGAAGGGAGGATGAGGAAGAGGGGTGTGGTGAGGGAACCAACAAAACGAATTTTGTCTGAAAACATCCACGATAGTAGGTTTCCATACCACCCCTCAAATGCCCCTCAGTTCTAGTTGTCTTTCCTGGAATTCCATGTACCCTACCCCTCCCCACCTGATCCTACTGCTCCCATTGGCCCTGCCTCCAGTCCACCCTTAAAATGTATTGCTATTTCCTCCTCCAAGGGAGATCCATGTTTTCCCTCAGTCCTTTCCTCTATACCTAACCTTCCCATATCTATGGTTATAGCTTGGCTCCTATTTATTTAATATCTAATACCCACATATAAGTGAATAGAATACATACCATGTATGTCTTTCTGGGTTTGGGTTACTTCACTCAGCATGATTTTTTTCTACTTCCACCCATTTGCTTGCAAATCTCATGATGTCAGTTTTTTAAAGAGAGCTGAGTAATGCTCCATTGTGTCAATGTACCACATTTTCTTATCTGTTCCTCAATGTAGGAACCACCTTGGAATATATCAAAAGGACACTTCATCCTGTCACTAAGGCACTTGCTCAACCATATTTATTGCTGCTATATTCATAATAGCCAGACACTGGAAACAATCGAACTATAATTCATAGTCCTAAGGGTGATTTGGAAACCTAGTATTGTAGAAACTTCCTCTGTGCTATATAGTAGGCTTCATTACATAGACTCAGTGATAGTTCAACATATGAAAAAAATCTGTCAATGTAATACACCATATAAACAACCTAAAAGAAAAAAACAACATGATCTTCTCATTAGATGCTGAAAAAAATCTTCTCATTAGATTTTGAAAAAGATTAGGGATACAAGGAATATGTATAAACATAATAAAGACAATATACAGCAAAACAACAGCCAACATTAAACTAAATGGACAGAAACTCCCACTGAAATCAGAAACAGGACAAGGCTTTCCACCCTCTCCATATCTATCTCCATATCCATCCCCGACTTCAAACTTTACTATAGAGCTACAGTCATAAAAACAGATTGATAATTGGCATAAAAAGACAAGAGGACCAACAGATTCAAATCTAAGACCTGGATATCAACCAACACAACTAAGTACACCTGATTTTTGATAAAGAAGCTAAAAATATAAAATGAAAATATCTTAAATGAATGCTGCTGTCATAACTGGATATTGACATGTAGAAGAATGCAAATACATCCATATAATATCCCTATGCACTAAACTCAAGTCCAAATGGATCAAAGACCTCAACATAAAACCAACCACACTGAATCTCATAGAAGAGAAAGTGGGAAGTAGCCTTGAACACACGGGTACAGGAGACCACTTCCTGCATATAACTCCAGAAGCACAGACACTGAGAGCAGCAATTAAGAAATGGAACTTCTTTAAACTGAGAAGTTTCTCCAAAGTAAAGAACATGGTCACCAAGACAAAATGGCAGCCTACAGAATGGAAAAATATCTTCACCAATTCCACATCTGACATAGGGCTGATCTCCAAAATAAACAAAGAACTAAAAAGCTAGGCATCAAAGAACAAATAATCCAATTAAAAAATGGGTCATACACCTAACAGAGAAGTCACAATAGACGAATCTCAAATGGCCAAAAGATACTCAAGGAAATTCTCAACATCCTTAGCCACAAGAACAATGCAAATCAAAACAAATCTGAGACACCATTGTACAGCTGTCAAAATGGCCAAGATCAAAAACACTGATGACAATTTATGTTCAGAAAAGATGTGGAGTAAGGGGAATACTTCCCCATTGCTTCTCGAAGTGCAAAGTTGTACAGCTGCTTTTGGAGTCAGCATGGTGATTTCTCAGAAAATTGGGAACCAATCTACCTCAAGACCCAGTAATACCACTCTTGGGCGTATACCCAAAGATGCTCAATCATAGCAAATAATTGACACTTGCTCAATTATGTTTATGTTCATGTCAGCATTATTCATAATAACCAGAACCTGGAAACAACCTAGATGTCCCTCAGTGAAAGAATTGATAAGGAAAATGAGTTACATTTACACAGTGGAGTACTACTCAGTGGTAAAAAAAAAATAACATTTCTAAATTTGCATGCAAATGGAAGAATAAAAAAAAACATACTGAGTGAGGTAACCCAGACCCATAAAGAACATTATAATATGTAGTGACCCATAAATGGCTTTTAAACATAAAGCAAAGAATAACCAGCCTACAGTCCACAACCCCAGAGACCCTAGACAACAAAGAGGACCCTAAGAAAGACATAATATATGCGTCTGCCTAGAAAGGAGAAAAAAAACCAACATCTCTTGAGTAAGTTGGGAGTACTGGGGGCAAAAGGGAGGGTGGAAGGTGAGTGAGGAAAATGTTAGCTCAAACAGAAACAAAAAATAAAAGTAAATTAAAAATATTGCATTGAAAGAGGAACTGCCATAAAAATATATCTTAATGTTTTAATTTAAGCTTTCACTTCTTTCTTCATCACTCAGCAAACATCACTGCTATTTCTTCCTGTGCAGGCGTAATCATCCAAAAGCACAGAGAATGCGGATGAAGATAAAATAGGCAAAATGAGGAAGAAAAGTCAACTTTAAATCTGGTGAACTGAGCTCAACGTTGACCTCGAGGGACAGATTCACTGAGCCCATCCAGAGCTTATGGTGATTTGTGTTTAACTAGAATCCACTCCAGATGAACTCTGTAGGGAGGACCTCGGCTTTGAGGTTACTGATCTTCTTCACTATTTTGGCACCTGGTGGGAATGGTAAGTGTGACATTCTGAGATTTTTAGGAAATAAAATTATCTTTCAACCTAACACTGGACTATGATAATCCTCCTGCCTTCGTCTCCTGACTCTGGAATTACAGGTTTGTTGCAGGTAACATAGCCTCTCTAACATTCATACTTTAAAACTTTTTATTTTATTTTCAATTTTTTATTTATTTTACATACCAACCACAATTTCCCCTCCTGCCTTTCCTTAGGCTTCCTCCTCCACCTCTTTTTTTACCCCCTCCCCATCCACTCCTCAGAAAGGGCAGGCCTCTCATGGGGAATCACAAAGCCTGGCATATCAAGTTGGGGAAGGACTCTAAAAAGCCATAAAGCTGATTATTTTCAATAAGCAGGTTTTCTACCAATATTCCATGGGTATTGTTAGTCATTATCATGAATTTCAGGACTTGAAACTCCCTGAAATAAGTATTTTACTAAGATGTCTTCCTTGTCTCATCTGTAAGATTGACACATATCAAAAAACAAAAACAAACAAAAATCCAAGGAAGCAAGCAAACAAACAAAAAATGAGAAAAAAATCTCTAAGAAGGGAAGCGCTGGGATCCAGAGTAAAGTGGAGGCACTGGACTCAGGTAGGAAGGGACAGTCCTCCGTTATAATAAGGGAACAAGGGACGAGTTGGCCACAGGATGCAGATCAATTGTTGGGTTGGTGTTGTAGACTATGGAGTCTGTCTTAAAGCATATGAGGTAAAGCTGTTGGAAGTTACCAGTGGAGAGAGGGGCAAGATAAGGAGTGGAGCCCATGAAATAACCATTTCAAAGATGGGACAGGCCAGGCTGTTAGCTAAAGAGGTGGAACTCTAGTCTGAGTTCTGCTTCACCAGAACCACAGATCCTAAGCAGACTGATCAGCATGAAAGCAAATTGACTTTTCTCCCAAGAGAAAAATACCAGTGTATTTCCTTCTATGTCAAAATGTATAAAATATAAGTATGACATAAAATACAGAAGTTAATAATCCATTTTCAACATTAAGAAAACATGAGAAGCAAATTTAACCATCTTCAAGTTTTTAAAAACTACTTACATATGTATTTAGTGTGTGTGTGTGTGCACCCAGGACACAGCACTTGTGTGAGGGTCACAGGACAACTGGAGGAGTTTGTTCTCTTTTTTTACTTGGGTTCCAGGTTTCAAGTTCAGGTCTCAGCTGAGGCTGCATATGCCTTTACCTGCTGACTCATCTTGATGACCCCTAACCTTCTTACATGTATTATGATCCAGCACAAAATCAACTTTGATAAATGTACCTGGGTCACTTGAAAAAATAAACATTATGTACATTGAAATTGTTTTTACGAATGTCTCTTTGGTCACTGTAATTAGTACTCCTATTAATATGTTGTAGGTCTATACTACTTTTTAAAGTTCTGATTGCTTGGTGCATTTCTGAGGAAGAGGAGTCACAACCTCCATGTATGATTATGAAACCATCTATATGCCTCTTTAATTTAGTTAAATTTTGCTTTATGTGCTTTAAAATGACTAGTATCCCTTTGTACTTTTGAATAATTTTCCTTTTATTATTATAGACACAGGTTTCTTTTGTTCCCTCTCCTTCGTTCCCCTCTCCCATGTATGTGCAGTTAATATTTTGCTGCCAGAAGTTTCTGGTGTAGTTACATGGCATTTCACATTATCACCATCGATCCCGTAACTCCTTGTCAGACATGGTTAAAAGAATGACCCATGGGGAAGAGTGAGAGGCTCAAGGAGAAAAGGCAGGGGGCCTTTTACCTCAAATGCATTTTGTTTCCTGGGTTGTTCTTGGATGTGATTTCACGACTCCAGTGTTAAATGTTTATATTTAATTTATAAGACATGTTTATTCTTGTTAGATGTCAGATCATAACTACATGATTCACAAAACCAATTTGGTGAAAGGATTGCTGAGTGCTGTCCTCAGTGTCCCCCGAATCTGGATATGGCCTTCTGCCTTGCTTTCATGCTTTCCCAGATACCATCTACAGGATGTGCCAGGCATTTGTATTTAAATTGGTCTGTCCTGAGAAAATTCCGGAAAAGGTCTGCTTTGTCAATATATTATGTGCTTACTGGCAATTATTTACATGTCTTTATGAACTCAAGCAGTCTTCCCAGGATCACTATTTCTTTGTTACATTAGTATATGAAAGTATATTCTTTCTTTCTTTCTTTCTTTCTCTCTCTCTCTCTCTCTCTCTCTCTCTCTCTCTCTCTCTCTCTCTCTTTCCTTTTTGTTCTGGCAATGCTTAAGCATGCATGGGCAGCCTGTTTATGGCAGTTCTCCAGTTGTTCCTATCCTGGACTCTTTTGATATAGGGATGACAGGAAGTTGAGGTGATAATTAGTGATGGAGGTGGGTCTTGTATCTTATCTGTTGCTTTCATTGGCTAATAATAAAGAAACTGCCTCGGCCCTCATAGGACAGAAAATTAGGTAGGTGGAGTAAACAGGAGAGAATGCTGGGAAAAAGAAGCTGAGTGAGTGAGTCGCCATGATGCTCCCACTCCAGACAGACGCAGGTTAAGATCCTCTCTGGTAAGCCAGCTCATGGGCTACACAGAATATTAGAAATGGGTTAGAACAATATGTAAGAGCTAGCCAATAAGAAACTGGACCTAGCCGGGCCAGGCAGTGTTTGAAAGAATACAGTTTCCATGTAATTATTTCGGGGCATAAGCTAGCCATGCGGGCGGCCGGGTGCCGGGGACGCAGCCCTGCCGCTCCTATTTCAACAGATGGCGCCCAACGTGGGGCTAAATCCACTTAAAAACCTGAGAAGCCTTAAAAATAAGGGAAACAGAGTTTAACACAGATTTTTGCTGTTTTGTTGGTGACATGCTGTAGAGAGATTCCTGATTCAGCAACAGCAGCAGAGAAAAAAAGCTGCGTCATTTTAAAGCGCGGCTTCCTGGTGCTATGCTGCCAGCGTGAACTCTGGCTTTAAAGCATTTCAAGGCTTTTATGGGACTGGATGTTTCTGTTCCCACTTGGGATCGGAGGAGATTGCTCTGAGACCTGCCGATGGCTCAGCGTTCCCTGCCTACACCTGGGCAGATGGCGGAATCAGGCTTAGGCAGGCGGAAGAGCATGGCGGATTCCTGCTGCCATACAGAGACGCGTTTTCAGACTGCGCAGTGCTCTGCGTGTCAGATTTGGCTGTAACTTGGATAAAAAGAGTTTCTGTGCTGCACACTCAGTCTCAAAATTAAATTGCTGATTGCGGCTCCAATGTAAACTGCTGTTTGCCTGTAACTGTGCTCAGCTCAAAAGCACCAAATGACTCTGAGGCAGGAGCGGCTGCTCCTTGCTGAACTGTGCTGATCTCAGGCAGGAACTACCGTAATTACCTTAAAACCGTGCAGTTAAGGTTTAGACTGGGCAGGACACAGGCAGTACCGTATTACCTATACATGGTGCAACTTAAGTTTTTAAGAAATGCTTAACATTTTAAGAAATGCTCCTGGATAATAAAAAAAAAAATACAGATTCACAGTAAAACAGATTCAGACACCGTTGGATGAATGTACGTAGGCTTGGGGAAAAAAAGAGAATATAAAGAATAAAGTTAATGTCTTAAAAAGAAAAAGGGTAAAGTCTTTAAAGAGACAGAGTACAGAAGTACAGATAGTTATAGATTAAGAGAAATAAAGAAAAATAAGCCACGTAAAAATGAAAAATTCACAGAGAGTCTGGATTATGTACATTGTGTTTTCTTTAAAATTTTTGACTGTGAAGGAGCTAAGTACAAAGAGACATTTTATTATATGGGCTGCTAAGCTGAACCTGCACATATGTTCTAAAGGTATCTTGACTTCAAAATTTGGATCTAAGGATATGATGCTTTGGAGAGGGTCTTCTTTTGTTTCCACAGAGGATGTGACCCTATGGATTGCATCTATCCCGGTATGGTATGATAGACCACGCCCTCCTGAAAGGTTGCTGTGAACACCCTCAAAAAATTACTTCACTCAACTGCCAACCGAGATGAACCTGACACACAGGTTACACCCTAAATGATCTGATTAACAGTGCCCCCATTCAGCAGGAAGCAGTTTGGAGAGAAAAAACTACGCCCATGTTCCCAAATATTGTTTATAAATGTTCTTTTACATTTAAAGGGGGATATGATATAGATATGAATAATTTGCATTGGTATGGATTTTAAGGTCAATTTTGTTATATGTATATGTATTTTTGAACTTGATTAAGGTATTGTGATTATGTAGTTCACTTAAAATGTAATGTATAATTAGGAAATATAGGTTGTTAATGGATAATCATTGCTAATAGTTAAGCTTGTAGTCATGTTAGTTAGATTTTCTAGATATATAGAGATATATTTCAATTAGATAGGCATTCTTCATATCTTTCAAAGACTGCAGAATATGGCATTTAAAATATTTTAATAACTTAGGACTTTTCATGACAAGGAGACACGTCTGCTCCTGGCAGCACCAGCTACTTCAAGAGGAAGATGGGCATCGAAGAGGATCCTTATGGAGTTGGATAGTCATTTGGGCAAGAAACTGCTCTTGCCTGGACTGTTGCATAAACTGGACACAGAGAACCCTCAGAGAGAGGACTGCTGAACTTGCCTAAAGGTGAGATGGTCTTTCGGGGTTCCTGATTCATGAAAGAGTCTACAAGACATTCTACAGAACACAGCAGAAAGTGACTGAACTGTCTTTAAAATTTCCTGCTTCATGGAAATGTATCTGGATACCATGGGCCTGTAGGCCGAAGATGGATGCCCCAACGGTACAGAGGAACTTTGGGTGACTGTCCAGGCAGCGAGATGTCTCTGTCATTTCTAGAGTTTTCTTATTTCTTGTTTACTTAGATAATATTATATCCTTCTGGAGTCTTTGATGGAGTTGAAGAATAAATAGTTATAGTTTTCCTTAGTTATGATAAGAGATAAAATAGATATAAATATTGTAACTGTAATTCTTACTTGATAACTGTTTTGTTATATGTAAT